GGCATGAGCCACTGCACCGGCCTCATGACTCCATTGCAAATCCTTTGTTCCTTCAGTCTTCCCCACTCACCATCATCTATTACATATCTGTACTGTCACCACCACATCAATGATTGCTTTGAAATGGTCTTGAACTAAGAAAGAAGGAAGAAAGAAAAGGGAGAAAAGGAGACAGAGAGGAAGGGAAGGGGGAGAGAGGGTGAAAGAACAAAAGGAGGGAGGCATGGAGAGACAGGAGAGGAAAGAGAGGAAAAAGGAGAGCTCAATGTATGTGCATTGTACCCCCTGACGGGCAAGATTATTATTCATCCTAGACAAATAAGGCAAAACCAAGTAAAGCCACAGTATCGCTTTAGAAAAGAAATTTTTGTTTTTAAAGAACAAAAACAAAGATTGCCCTAGAAGGATTAAAAAAAAAAAATCTCTTACCCTATAATTAAAATATGCCCAAATACTTTCGGCTCTCTTAGGTAGGCTATTTTTATGAATATATGATTTCAACAAAATTCCTCTCTCTTCATATTTCTGAATCCTGTTTGTATCCACTTAATGTTCTTTTTTTTTTTTTTTTTGAGACAGAGTCTCACTATGTTGCCCTCACTAGAGTGCTGTGGCGTCACAACTCACAGCAACCTCAAACTCTTGGGCTTAAGCAATTCTCTTGCCTGGGACTCCAGGCACCCGCCACAATGTCCGACTATTTTTTGTTGCAGTTGTCATTGTTGTTTAGCTGTATCAGGCCAGGTTCAGACCTGCCAGCTTCTGTGTATGCAGCTGACACCGTAACCACTGTGCTATGGGCACCGAGCCCACTTAGTTCTTGATGTCACTTTTGCATTAGAGACCTTCTCTTTTTTAGGATACTTCATGATCTTGGTATCTTTGAGTACTGTGTATTAATTAGCAGCATAAGCCACAGGACATCTGGCAATACATGTTGTTACCACAGCTACTCAACTCACCTGTGCTATAAACCTGCATTTAAATTTTATCTTTAGAGTTTGAATGAAACATGATTTCATTATGATGCCATTGAGCAGGTTTATACTGTGAGCATTCACAAACACCCCTGTCTATGATAAGATGACTCAACTGTCCTTTTTCCCAAGAAGTGTTAAAGGCTGGAATATGCTGGCAGGTTAAAAGCCTAAAATGGGAGGTCAAGTCATATGTTGTAGGTCTCGCAGACCAAAAAGTATAATCCACATGACTATTTTGTTTGGGAAGGGGGGAAATGCCTATATTTCTCTTATTATTACTGTGTCTTTGTTCCTAGTGAGATAACATACATCTTTTCCAGAGAAAATAAAAAAAGAAATTCTGATGCAAATCAAATGTTTAAATGAAGGGGGAAAGTTAAAACATTCAAATCACTCGGAAACTAAATGGTGGTAAATTATAACAGCTTCCAACAATTACTTAGTTCTTATGAAAAGTATTTACCATGGCAACCACTGCATCAAATTGCTCTTAAACAAGAAATAAATTCAAAAGATCTATTGTACAGCACGGTGACAATAGTTAAGATGATAATACTGTATTCTTGAAAAATGCTAAGAAAGTAGATGTTAAGTGGTCTCCCCACAAAAATGATACGGTAGTGTATTTGTTAGCTAGCTAGGTTTAACCATTTGATGATGTATGTTTATGTGTATATGCTTCAAAACACTGTATTGTGCGTGATAAATTCATACAATTTTATATGTCAATTTAAAAAGTAAATTAAAAAAAAAAAAAGCTTTTAGCCTGGGCGAAGGGGCTCACACTCAAATTCTAGCACTCTGGAAGGCTGGGGCAAGTGGATTGTTTGAGCTCAAGAGTGAGCTCAAGAGAGACCAGCCTGAGCCAGAGTTGAGACCCGCATCTCTACTAAAAATAGAAAAACTAGCCGGTCATCTTGACACATGCTTGTAGTCCCAGCTACTCAGGAGGCTGAGGCAAGAAGATCACTTGTACCTAGGAGTTTGAGGTTGCCGTGAGCTATGATGACACCACAGCACTCTACTCATGGAGACAGAGACTGAGGCTCAGAAAAACCTAAAGAAATATTAGAGAAGCACTCGCTAGATGCTATGTACACAATGTACATAGCAACATTACAATAGCAAATATTTGAAAACAAACTAAATTTCCATCAATAGGAAAAGGAATAAATGAATTATAGATATAATTCACACTAAACTACACAGCACTAATAAAATTTAATATCTTGAACTACATGGAACAACATGAGCTAATGTCACAAATATGAAATTGGA